AGAATATAAATACATTGATGAAGGAGGTGGGACTAATTGATATATGGAGAGACTTGCATCCCTACCAAAGGGATTATACTTATTTTTCCTCACCGCACTTGTTATACACAAGAATAGATTATTTCATAACTTTTGGGAAAAATAAAGATAAAATAAACACTTGTGAAATTGGAGCAATAGAGTTAAGCGATCATGCACCAGTATACCTGTCTGTTGATTTAAACGTGCAACCAAAACTCAATAATTGGAAATTAAATTCAAGCTTACTGAATGATCCTCACTTTAAAGGACAAATTAAGAAAGAGATTCACTTCTATATGGAAACTAATGACAATGGTGAGGTGTCTCCTCCTATACTGTGGGATGCCTTTAAAGCTGTCCTGAGAGGGAAAATTATAGCAATATCCTCTTATAAGAAAAAGATGAGAAATAAGAAATTAGAAGAGCTACAAAATAAGAATTAGAGAAAAGGCATGAAAGAAAAACATCTCAGGATATATTGGAGGAAATTAGGAAAACAAGAAATGAAATAAATGATTTGACCACATATGAAATTTAAAAAAAATTAATGTTTCTTAAACAAAGGTATTATGAGGGAGGATCAAAAGCAATGAATGTATTAGCCTGGAAACTAAAAAAGAAAATAGCAGATAATACAGTTCACAAAATTAAACATCCAGTGACAAAACTAATAAAAAATAAACCAATAGAAGTTCAGAGTGCATTTGAAACATTTTATAAGACTCTTTATGCTAATAACACAGAGAGTAGTATAGTTGAAATTAACAGTTTTTTAGATTCTCTTGATTTACCAGTACTGAATGAAGAACAGAATAAAACTTTGATTGAAGATATAACAGAAAAGGAACTAAGAATAGCAATAAGTAAAGTTAAAATAAATAAATCTCCAGGATCAGATGGATATACGGCAGAATGGTACAAGGAGCTAAAAGAAGAATTAATACCAGTGATGCTTCTAACAATGAATTGGATCCTAAAGAAGGCTCAAGTACCTTCTAGCTGGAAAGAAGCAATTATCTCTGCCATCCCAAAAGAAAACAAGGATAAATTAGAATGTGCGTCATATAGACCAATATCTGTTCTTAATACAGATTACAAGCTGTTTACATCTATCATGGCTCGACGATTAGAAAAGTTCTTACCTAATCTAATTCATAATGATCAAACAGGTTTTATTCGACAGCGCCAAATACAAGATAATGTACGACGGACATTACAAATTATTAATCATATTCAAAAGAATAAAATAGAAGCAATGGTAATCAGTATCGATGCAGAAAAAGCATTCGATTCAGTCAATTGGAACTTTCTTTACCGAGTCTTGCATACATTTGGCTTTCACGAAAATATAATTAAGACAATACAGGCACTTTATGATAACCCTACGGCAAGGATTAAAATTAATGGCTACCTATCAAATAGTATTAAGCTGCAAAGAGGAACAAGGCAGGGCTGTGCGTGCTCACCATTATTATTTGCGTTATATCTGGAACCATTGGCTCAATATATAAGACAAAATAAAGAAGTAGAAGGTATTAATATCCATGAAAAGGAGCATAAATTAGCCTGCTATGCAGATGATATTTTAATATTTTTGGGTCAACCATCAAACTCTTTACCTAAATTAATGCAATCATTTGAATACTTTGGTCGACTATCTGGATATAGGGTTAATATGAGTAAAACACAATTGCTTAAGTACAATTATATTCCATCAGAAGAAATTAAAAATAAGTATCAATTAGCATGACAAACAGAGTACTTTAAATATCTAGGAGTCATAATACCTAAGGATCTTACAGAATTATTAGAACGAAATTATTTACCAATACAAAAGAAAATTAAGGAAGATATAGCGAGATGGAATCTAATTCCATATTTAAGTTTATATTCGAGAATAGACTCAATTAAAATTAATATTCTTCCTAAATTATTATATTTATTTCAAACACTACCAATAGAAATTAACCTGAAACAGTTTAATGAATGGGATAAAATTTTGTCAAGATACATATAGCAAGGAAGAAGGCCCCGAATTAGATTTAAAACCTTACGACTTAACAAAGGAAAAGGGGGGTGGGGCTTACCTTCTCTTAGGGAATATTATTGGGCAGCACAATTAAGGCCTATGATATGCTGGTGTAATCCTTCATACGATGCTGAATGGAAAGCCATTGAGAAGGGTCTGACTTCCATCCCCATACAAGCTATTATAGCAGACAGCAGCCTGCAAGATTTAATAAAAACTATTGAAAATCCATGGATCAAGTTGACTTTTAAAATTTGGGAAACAGTAATAAAAGAATATAAACTAGAAGAGGATATAGCAGTTCTTAAGTGGTGTGCATATGACACACATTTTGCTCCAAATAAATTGGACACCAGATTCAAAGATTGGACATATAAAGGATTAACAGCTTTATGTATGGTAATGGAGGAAGCGAGACTAATTAGTTTTGATAAAATGAAAGAAAATTATTCATTAGAAACACAGGATTTTTATAGATATCTACAGATGAGGCATTTTGTCAATAAAACCATAAAAGCTAAGGCTGAACTGAGTAAACAGCTGCTAGACGTATTTAAAAGGGCAGTTCAAATAAAATTAGAGGTATTATAGGTGACCTCTATAAAGGATTAACAAATATGAAATTACACTCAACCTTGTATATCAAAACAAAATGGGAAATGGAGGGAGGGATAGAGATAAAGGAGGAAGAATGGACAGCAATATGGGCATATCAATGGAAATGTAGCAGCTCACAGAGCTGGAGGGAATTTGGGTGGAAATGCCTGATAAGATATTTTATTACACCTCACCAAAAATCTCACTATGAAGGTAACCCTCCCGCTTGCTGGAGAAATTGTGGAAATACAAATGCAAATCACTATCATATTTTCTGGGACTGTCATGTTATTAAAACGTATTGGAAGGGAATACACGTGGCAATACAAGAGACATCTGGAAGATATTCACCTTTGGAAAGTAAAACTCTATTATTTGGACTTATGCCAACAGGATGGACAAAGAACGATAAATACTTGTTTAATATTTTACTGGCAGCAGGAAAAAAAGCCATCACAAAAAAATGGCTTTCTTCAGAGAGCCCAACTATGAACACGTGGATGAACATCACATTGGACATTTACAGAATGGAGAAAATGACAGCAGATGTGAACTACAAGAGGGACCTGTTTGTATCACGATGGAAGAAATGGATGGACTACATTAGAAAACGCAGGCCAGTTTTTGCTTATAATTTTTACTTTGTTAACTACTAGAAGACTGGAGGAAATATTAGTTATATTAAGGGAAACAAAAACACACTCCCTTTATTTATTTATTTATTTATTTATTTTTCTTTCCTTTTTCTTTTTCCTTATGTATTTTTTATTTATGTTGTTTGTTGTTTCTGATAGGTTTGTAGCTTGAATCTATCCGCTGGAACGTTGAAGACAATATAATTACACTGCAAAGCAAGACACAAGTAGGCAAGCTTCTTCATGTTTCTCGTGCACGGGAGAGAACCGGACAGGCACCGTTCCTTAGCTTGACCCCAGTTGCTCTCGTCCGTTCTCCCGTACCACTGTTCTTTTATTGAGGTTACATGAATATGCATAAGTTCATTAACATATGACGTCTACATACACACAAAGAGTACCTTGCCTGTGTGTGTGTGTGTGTGTGTGTGTGTGTGTGTGTGTGTGTGTGTGTGTGTGTGTGTGTGGACTGCTGATCAAAGGGTCAAACATCCTTGGTCAGGAAGAGAGTAGCCTCCCCCTCACCCTAGATGGTTCATCCTAGATAACACGGTGAGGAAGTCCTGCAGTTCATCTAAACAAAGAGCACTTAGACTAGAACAGACGCAACTACTTTAATCCTACCATAAAACAATTAGACACGGTATGACCTCTCATGCTCCCAAAGTGCTGTCTAATACACACAAAGTTTGCAGACTATCAAGGATCAAAACCTCTACCAATCTACAACTAATTACAAAACTCTAAGCATATATAAGTAAATATTTCTAAGCATAAATGACAATCAACAATACAAACTCTAACAGTTTCCTGTTTTGTTTCTTTTTCTTTTCTTCTTCTTCTTTCATTTTTATTGTATGGATATTTCAGTTGTTTGAATATAGGAAAAAAATATATATATATGTACTGAAAGATAGCTGAAGTTGATGGCATTGTATAGTGATTCTAAAATGTCAATAAAAAAAAAAGATGCATCAGAATAAGAATACTTCACTAATAATTTACTTGGTCTGTAAATGGCAGTGTGTAAATCATAGTGTGACGCTTTTCTACTGTAACTGAACTTTTGAATGTAATGAACAATTTTAACAGACATCTTCATTTCCTCAGTGAAAGCGCACCTATGTAGGAAATTTGTTATTAATTCTAAAGCTACCTTTTGTTCTGGTAAATTAAGGGGTTTAAATTTGATTTAATGAAAAAGCATCCATTTATCTCACTATACTGATACTCTATGTATGTATGTATCTCCTCATACACAAGTGGACCATTTTCATAAACACTGCATTGGCACTGAGTGTGCGTATACAAATATTTTATAAAACTCCCCACATTGTATGCATTTGTAAATTACAATGGTGTGCAACTATATAAAGTCTCATAGCATCATATTATAATCATCTGTTTTGATATGTGTATTTCTATGCTCACTAGTTCATTGAAATTGTTATAGTTTTTATGTTAATCATTTATGCTAACTGTAATATCATTAGATTTTTTGGTGAGCTTCTCTGGCACTAGCGCCCCTAAATTTCCACAACACTACAAAAGCTAAACTGTTAAATTATGAATACAATAACAATGAGTGCATTTGTGCAGCTAATATCACCACAAATCAGTGTTTCTAGTTCAGAAGGTGAGAAGATATAAGATGCTTAGTCTCACCTGGACAACTTTTGTTCAGCTGCTGTACTCAGTGTTTTTCTATCTTTGTCAAGGTAAAAGCTGCTTCGAAGTATGTGGACGTGCCTGTAAGTATTCATTTTACATCTCCGCTGTTGTAATGTATGTGTGTACAGTATGGGTCATTGTGCCTTTATCGGGTTTTGATTTGCTCATCAGATATATTTTGGAGCACTAAGAAGTACTAAATCTAAATTCTGAAAGTTTTGGTGACTGTTTGGCCTCAAAATGTCATCATTAATCCCAGTCCCTGTTGTGTTTGCATGACTCACATGCATGTGAGTGCTGTTAAGACTCCTTTGTATTGTATCACTCAACATATAATTCCATCCCTGATTCCTGATTCCATTTCATGAAAAGAATTTGAAAATCCACTTCATATGGGAGTTACATGATGACATGTGTAAACATTTTGATATTTAAAAAACGACATAGAAAACCTAATAGTTCATATTCGAAAAATAATATGACGTGACATACAGAGATAATTTGTTTACTGGTCACATCTCCCCCGAAGCCTCAGCTTACACACGATGAGTCATCACCCTCTCACAAAGTTCTCACAAAGAAAATTTCTGCCTTTGACTTTAAAATGACATCCATCCATCCATCCATTCGCTACCGCTTATCCTTTTCAGGGTCGCGGGGGGCGCTGGAGCCTATCCCAGCTGTCATAGGGCGAGAGGCGGGGTACACCCTGGACAGGTCGCCAGTCTGTCGCAGGGCTTTTAAAATGACATTTGCTGTTTCATATGATGTATACAGTGAGTGTCGGGATTTCCATTTGCTGAAATTCCATCCATCTGTCTATTCATCCATCCAACCATTCCAGTTAGGGTTGCCAACTCCCTGAAAAAAAAAAATAAGGGACGCCTAATTGGCCAGGGCTGGGCGACCCTTATTGTCTTCACCCTTCCCAGTGTGGGGAATTTCTTAGCTCTTGTATTTGTGTGTGTAATTATTTTTTTAACCATTTGACAAAGTGCATACCCTTTTCAGCTCAATACTTTTGTTTCTAAATACGGAACGATTCTGTTTTTCAAGGGACGGTTGGCAACCCTAATTCCAGTGGACCCACTGCTGATTGGAGGTGTGGAAGGGATCCAGTGTAGAGCGTGTGTGTGTGTGTGTGGTTCTGCAGCATACTTAAATGGTGTATTCTGTCATTCAATGGTGATTAAATCAAATCTGACTTAAATCGCTGTTAAATTAATTTTTTATAATGCTATATATAGGGATGGGTACCGGTATCCGGTGCCATGATTTTCTGACATAAACGGTAGTAACCAGACCAAAAAGCAGTGCACATTTCGGTGCTTTATTTTGGTGCTTTTTTTTGGTGCTTTTTTTTTTCTTAAGATGTGATACGCTTTGGATTCTTGCCAATCATTTTACCTTTGCAAGCATAGTAGGTGGGCCCAGGTACGTACGTTCTTTTAGAGCAGAGCTACAGATTAAAAATGCCCAAGGTGAAGCGGTCAAAGTCTGGCTGTACTTCAGAGCAAAAGATGCAAACTCAGCAGCAACAAGTGCTTTAAGCTGATACTGTGATACTGTCAAAGGAGGTAACACCTCAAATCTGATGAAACACCTGGCGACGCATAGCGTTTTTTTTAAAAGCCGAGAAATGCGCCGTATTTGATAGCTTGCTGCGAGACCTCACACCGAGCACATCTACTGCGGGTGTGGTGCCTGTTATCGGACCCGGAGTTAGCAACATCCCCCAAGAACCCGAAGAGGAGAGTCCTGGCCCCTAGCCCTGCCAGTGTAGCAGAAATGATGAGGATGATGATGCAGCAGCAGCCGTTCTTCTCTGCGTGAGTAGCTTCATGTTGTTCGTGTGTAATTTACGTTGAGTAGGCTAACCACGTTATTACATTAATGCATGTAAGGTGAACTAGCAAACACCGTCATAGCTACATGCGGCTGTCTTCTTGTTTGATGGCAGATACTCCCTTCACCCTGGCCAAAAAGGCTAAAATGACCAAAGAAAAAGTGGGAAACAGCTGAACATGAGAGGTTTTTGGACAAAGTTTGTGTTCTCCATTCTTTAAGCACCGGTTCGAGCACCGTTTAAGCACCGGCACCGTTTCAAAAGTACCGATTTGGCACCGGTATCGGATAAAACCTAAACGATACCCATCCCTAAATATATATATATATATATATATATATATATATATATATATCTATATATATATAACTATATTTGATATTGTCTTAACCATAGCAATATCATAACATATTGTGCTAGATCTTACTTATGAAAATAATGTCTGCTATTTTTGATAAATTTAAATGGAGCATTTTGCTTCCCTGGTGATGTGAGAATGTTTGTTTGTGTGTTCTTGTTCATCTACAAATATTTGACCATACTTTCACATCTATCATCATGATCCAGATGGTCCTGGGTGTTGTATTTCCACATTGAATGTCCCCACGTTTCCTTCCCCAAATGTCCATTCATATGTATGTGGCCAGACACTGACAGCCATCCGTGCCTCATGCATCCATCTCTGTGCCGCATACATTGTGAGTCCTTGTTGTACAACACATGCCCATTCTGCTGTCAGGTTGGCGGCGGTGGTGTTTGCATGTGTCTGTGTGCGCGTCAGTTCTAGATAAGCTGCCAACACTTTGGCCCTTGAAAAATGCCAAATATCAAATTAATGCCTTGTCAGTAAATCTGAAGAGCCACTGTGTACGCTGGCAAGGGTCACAGTTTCTGGACCAGCATGCTAATTGTGTTCTCATCGTACAACATTTGAGTTATGCTGGTTAAAAATGGCAAAAAAAAAAGGACTCATTCACACATTGTAGGCATTACTGCAGATGTGTTATCCACATTTAGTGAGAGATGGCAATGAGTTGTTTGGATGACTTTTTGGAGTCCTGATGAATGAAATTCAAGTACAAAAGGTTAAAAGAGTGTTATTTTGTGAAATATGAAAATGGGAAAATATGTTGTTCTTAGAGAGACAGCTAAGGTGCCAACAACTGCAATGTCCTCCCAATATAAGTAAGTAAGTAAGTAAATTTTTATTTATATAGCACATTTCTAGATAAAAGATCACAAAGTGCTTCACAGGGTATTAAAAAAACAGACAAAAGTTAACAAAATGCAATTCTAAAAAGATGTGTTTTTAGTTGTTTTTTTGATATTTCAGATATCAGAGTGGCGGGCCTCCTAACAGGCTGTTGTCCAAGTGACAGTTCCCCGTTCACGTTGCACATGCCCAGACTGCAGAGACTAGTTTCAGTCAATCTCAACTCTGTCACAAGAGCTTGGTGTGCAACCATGTAATGACCGAATGTTCCTCCTTTCCAAAATAACCCTCAACGATTTGTGAACCATCTCGGCCCGAATGTAGTAGAGCTGGCTTCCACTTGATTATGAGACAATTTATCATGTTAGATCTCATCATCAATAAATACGGTTTCTTATCTGATTTTAATGGTTCTGCAACTGCTGACAGCTGAGACAGTAAATCAACATACTGTGATCATCACTAAGCCAATATGTTTATGGTGGCAGTGTGAAAATGCTGCTGCTAAGCAGGTATGACAACTAATATACTACTGCTAATACTACTGTGCTTAAGCACATCAGCAGACTGCAAAAAATCACAACCCACACAGACAGTGAGACTGATGGGTTGAACTGAATTTCCTGGAGGAACCTAGTGGAGTAGCTTAATATTTACTAAAATACACTGATGAAAACTTTGCTCTGCTGTGGGCACTAGAGAATATTTGGTAGCACTTTCTATCAGAGCTCATCAATAATGTGATAGTCGGATATTATGGTGAAAACAAGAAGGGAATGATAGGGAGATAAGTTATTACCACTTATTTACCAAAGTTATATCAAAGTAAGAACAATTTCTTTCATCAACAATAGTTATACCTGCATTTAGGTTAAGCTAAGTAATATTACACTTAGATTTGTGAAACAGGGTAACAGGGTCCTAAAACTCCCAGCTGCCAAATCCAGGTTCAACACTTGAAATCAATTCCAAATCTAGCATCTATTTACAAAACCTTTGCAGCTGAGACAAATGTCACGCGGCTTTTGCTAGTGTTGAAAGCTATCCCAGCACCTGGATGTTGTGCATGTGAGCCCCTCACTTTAAAAACGTTGGCCCTTTCATTGTGAATAGTGTGACGTCCCATACCATAATGTAAAAAGCAAGGTAGCTCCTGGTTCTGGTATGCTAGTGTTACAGCTTAAATGTTATATATTGAAACCAATGTGATCCTCTGGCCAGCTTTATTGGCCTTTGCAATATTGCCAGGCCAATTGGCCATTGCCAATGCATCGCTTGTGGTGACCACTTGGGAAATAAAGAGGTTAACACTTTAGTATACAATAGTAAGGTCTCAGTTAATAGTTCATTCATCATTTATAAATGATGAAGTTACAATTTCTTAATAGTATTATTGCACCAAACACGTTTTTTAGAAGCAAAGGTTAATGGTTTGTGGTATAGGAAATAGGTATCAGAACAATAGTAGGCAAGTATTCAGATGAACATTGATACACATAAAGATTACAAAATGGTAAATGGCCTGTATTTATATAGCGCTTTACTAGTCCCTAAGGACCCCAAAGCGCTTTACATATCCAGTCATCCACCCATTCACACACACATTCACACACTGGTGATGGCAAGCTACGTTGTAGCCACAGCCACCCTGGGGCGCACTGGCAGAGGCGAGGCTGCCGGACACTGGCGCCACCGGGCCCTCTGACCACCACCAGTAGGCAATGGGTGAAGTGTCTTGCCCAAGGACACAACGACCGAGACTGTCCAAGCTGGGGCTCGAACCGGCAACCTTCCGATTACAAGGCGAACTCCTAACTCTTGAGCCACGATCGCCCCTATGAACTACTTTTGTATGAACTACTTTTGTGTGTTCATAAAGGTTTTTATAAATGCTTATTTCATATTGTACTTCATGTTAAATTCAGTCAGTTACTAATAGCTGACTAACTATTTTGTTTAACCACATTTAAAATGAGAGACAAGCTATACCTCACAAAGCTTCAACAAATCAAACTGAAAGG